GCCACCGCCCGTCTGCCGCCGCCGCCGTCCCCGCCTACTCTCTCTCTCACACACACACACAGAAAATCGAAACACACACACACACAGAGTCACGCTCGACACACAGCCCCCAACCGCCAGTCCGCCACTGCTCACCCGCCACCGCCGCCGTCCTCCGACTACTCTCTTCAGACATCGATGGCCGCTCTCTCCAGAAAAATTAGGTGTGCGTTCATTGGTGAACATCGGTCAGAGGATGGCCGATTCCGATTACCTCGAACGAGACCCTCAATCTGGAGCTCACGACGCCGGCCGACTTCATCCTGGTGGAGCAAAGATTCACGGTGTGCTCGTCCTTGTAGCGAATTGGACAATTTGGGGGTGGGCTGCTTTGTGAGAATTAGATGATTCAAAAGGGTTGATGTGCAATTTAAATAAATATATATATATATATTGCCTATTGTGTTTTGGTCAACTCAGTAATTATGAAGACTTTAATGTGTAAACAAGAATGATAGAATAAAAAAATACAAATGCACAATATTTTATTTGAAATATGCACAAATGTCAAACAAAAAAAATAAAAATAACTGAAACATATGTTTATTATATAAACAATTTAATAAATATAAAATAATGTTAATTGAAATATACATTATCAACGTTTTTAAAGGTTTAAATGTACATAAAAATACTCGATCGTTAGGTTGCACAATAATGAGAGTCGAAATGCACATTATTTATGCGTGAATGCATATTATTGATTTCGATGTTTTATATATTATGTAATTTCAATAAAAATATTATAAATTAAATATAAATTTTAAAATACAAATAATTTAATAATATAAAATAGTATATCATTTACATTATTTAGGATAATTTGGTTAACCGATTGATAAAAATTTAAAAAAAAATTATTTTGAATTATTAAATAAAAATAATGTAAATTATTAAAATAATATAAAAATAATTTATAATAACAAATAAATAATATAACAAAATTAATAAATAAAAAAATATGTTAATTATTTAGGTTAATTCGATGTACAATTATATATATTAAAACTAATTTTCGAATACACATAATTTATCTAGAAATGTATAAACGAGCGTACTTTATATAGTGGGTTGTTGCACCTTGTAAAACAACACGTTGCACCTTATTAAACAACACGTTGCACTTTATCATATAAAACTAATTTTCAAATACACATAATTTATCTAGAAAGGTATAAACGAGCGCACTTTATATAGTGACAGTTGCACTTTATAAAACAACATGTTGCACCTTATAAAACAACACGTTGCTGTAACGCCCCGTTTTATTTTAAAGAATTTACCGCATTGATTTAAAAAAATCAGAGTTATTTTTTTTTTAATCCAAGTTAAAACATTTATCGAGTATCGGGCGCTACTTATTAACCACAACAATTAAACACAACCAACAATCTAAGAACCTACACATGCTCGAGTTATCAAAATAAGAATCCCACAGAACATACGTCTCAAATTCATTTCCAAAGGTCTAGCATGATCACGGTTCAACATTCTTAAACTTAGTTCGAAAAGTGGAAGCAGTAAATAATTCAAAGCATAATAGCAAAATAAATAAGTATTAAGTTCAAGCGGAAGCATAGGTTTCAACACATAATGACCACCATCTCGCTCGTCCTACGCCATCGCCTCCAGCTCGTCTCAACCTAGAACAAAGGAAGAGAAAAGACAACAAAGAAAATAATGGGGGTGAGCATAACCAACAAGCTCACCATTATAGCACAGTATATCTCGCATAACACTTTAAACCATCATAACCATAGTATTCAGTATCCATAGAATCCAACGGTCTAACTCCCTACTTGGCCCTATCGCAAACCTCCTATGTACATACAACAACCTTCCGATCACACACGACAAGGAAGTAACTGGAAACCTTCCCATCACCGAATGGCTACGGGCCTGTGATCCTTTCCAGGAGACAGTAGAGATGTTTTTCCCATTCACGAATATCATACGGACCTGGGCGTCACCTCTCCGAATCTACGGGCCGATGACCTCTCACTGTTTATGCATCCTCAAAGGCACTAACATACGGTACACTTAGATTAGGGTTCTCACGCATACATCATTTTTCAAAACAAAGCATTTATACGAAATATTAAGTGCGATAAATATGGAATACATCATAAATGTACCCACCTGATAGCAGCTACAGTTCAAATCACAATTCTCGAGACGAGGCGAGGTTCAACACCTCTCGACACCTACATTAAGTCCAGATACTAAAGTCAACACTTTAATCTAGACCCATGTAGCAAATTCACAAGTTGACTTAGCCGAACTCGGTTCGACCAAGTGGTTCGTGAAGTTCTGTGGATATGAGAACACTAGGCTTAGACTCGATCAAACTACATATTCGAGTTCACACAAAAGCAAGTGAAAGACAACAAACGAGTCACAAGCAAAACACATGGCACATTTGGTCATCAACACTTAACACATTTCAACATAGAAAAACAATTTTTCAAATTCACACTTGAATTAGAAGGCATATCAAATCAATGAGTTGGGTTCTGAAACTTTAACATAAATTTCACATCCTAGTTCTAAGTAAGATCACCCAATTTCAGCTTCAAACTCCTTATGCATAATTTTATAAAATTCAAACAAGTTTTTCAGCAAAACGAGTTTAAATTAAAATCACATGATAATGGACGATTCAGGCTATGAAATTTTTATCTAAAATACTACAACATATGAGCAGCATCACATAAATTTGCCAGCCTCTAACACTCAGGATAACAATTTTATAAAATTAAAACCACAATCAGCCAAATATCACAATTATATCAGAACTGATCACAACTGAACTCCAAAACTTCTAAACTTTTTACAGCATGCTAAACATCATATAA